CACCACAATCACATCACCAGTAGAAAACTGGTGGCAAATTTGAATATTAAAATTTAAAAAATAAATAGAAAGAGCAAGCGCGTACGCGCATACCGAGCCACCCACAAAAAAGAGTTTAAGGAGACATTTCTATCTTATAAAATCCTTATTTTAAGTACACTTATGTTACATAACTTGCGATTGCTAATACTCTTGTTCATCGCTTTGAAATGGTAAGAGGTGACTTCTCTTAACAGTGATTTTATTGAGCTATCTGAAATCAGTGACCACTCGACAGCACTTTTCCCCATTCGTCCTACATGTCTTAGCACTATCTACTTGTTCGAGTTATACAGTGATTTAGAAGGCATAATGTTGCATTACTGTTTTAGATCTTGCTATTTTTTCTTCACGTTATAAGCTGTCAATATAATTGGCATGTATGTCACAATTTTCATCTTAATATCCTAAGCATCCTTCCTTTCGACGCTGAACAGCTTGGCATCTCACGTTATCTCACATTCTTACAAATTTATTTTCGGCACTTGTATTTTGGTTATTTTATTTATAATGTAAATGCACTGTGCGTAGACCTTTCCTTCATTTTTTTTTGGTTACAAATTTTTTTTTGAACTTTCTTCTCTTTCATTTTTGTGAAGGAACCTATACTAATTTTAAGTTCTGATAATCATCTTTCACGTGGACGTACATTGCTTGCCTTGATCTGGCAAGGACCTCATACATCTCCTGTTCGATTAAATTTATTTTAATTTCACCCAAATATAAAATAGTTTTTGCAGCACATATATGGCCTTTATATAATTCGAAAATGTCTCATTCTATAATCCTCTCCACGTCAATTTTAAAGCTATTTAGAACTGTGAAGTTTGCGCATGAGGCCGTTTAGTGATACATTAATAATACCTAGCGTGCTACGATCTTCATGCATTTTACCTATAATTTTAAATTGGTTCCTTATACAGCTGGCTGTATCTTAGAAAATGCCGGCTATTTTTTAATCAAAATCTTTAGTCCTATGTAAACATAAAATCTTGTTTTTTTGTTCATTAACTAAGGACTACTCATCGTTAGTAAAGGGGTTGTTCTGCCTGCCCAAAATATATTTATCTTGCTCATGCCAAAAGGCTCATTTCCATTGTGAAATAAAAAAAGCAAGAAACTGTATCTATACATGAAAAATTTTGTTAAATGCAGGAAAAATAAAGTACTAGTTTTAGTAAATGGTTACAAATGAAATTAGAACTTCATTAGTACAAATGTTAGCAAATGCCCGAAAAAATGGCAAAAATAGCCCAAACCAGTTTTTTGTGTCCAAACTAAAACCGAACTAAAGATAGAAAAGTATGTAGTTTTAAGATGCTTTTTATACCATCAAAAAATATTGTAACACATAATGATAATTTTTATTAATACAATAATTTGGTATTATATAGTTTAACGTTCAACATAAGAGTTAGGGAACTGTTTTTTCTAATCGTGTTAAAATGAATTAAAAGTTGTCAAAATTAGCTAAGCTTAACATACCTTCAATGGCCTCGTTACCTGATTTAGTTTATATTCGTTGCTCGTGTACCCTAATTTATTTCAGATAATGCAGATATGCAAAGGGTTCACCTGACGGAAGCAGTTCGTAGCTGTGTGTCCAAGATTGCCATAAATTTGACATTTAACCTTGCATTGGTCTGTGTTGTGGTTTGAAACTTTGCAGAGCTCGCAATGTCTTTGCTGAGATTTGTTGTAAAAGCAACCGATAGCAAAGTGTCCTGCCGTATAGCATAATTGACAGGATGACCACTGTTTTTTGCATCGTTGGCTTATGTGTCTTTTTTGACCACATATTTCACATTGACTAATAACGTTGGTACGTTTGCGTTGCGTATTTCTACTGAAGTGAATTGTATTATTAGATGCAGGTTTTGGTCTATAAAATGCTAACTCAATTAAGAAATATCATGGTCAGCTTTGCAGCTTTTTCTATTTCCCTTTCGTTCTAGTCTTTCCCCACGCATTTTTAGAGTGTGTTAATACTGATTTTCAAAATCATCTCTGAATTTATTTATCGTTTCCATGAAACGTATAATAATTTAATAAACCTTTTTAGGTCTTTGATTGTATTGAATAAATGATGGAATAGGGCTGTTCGTGCTTCACCAAACAGAGTTCTTTTGGAGGTACTAAAAAGTACATTAGATATTCTCCCAACACTTAAGGATGACGCAGCTTCCTTTGCCCTGCGCGTTGCTTAGCGGTATATACCAGACAACACTGCTAAGTTAAAAAGGATGTAGAAAACTTCGAAAAAGTGTTAGCATACGTCTAAGCTAGACTAACTTTCGGTCTGGCTTGGAAAATCTAATGCACGTTGGACGTATCTAACGCTTACCCCGTGCAAACCCGTAGGTTAATTGTATTAAATCCCATAGGTGGTACTTTCTGGGACCAGAACAGACGCTTCAATTACGACCATGAGCTGCCCTGGCTCTTGGGCAGCTATTCCAGGTCCAACTGTTCAGAGACAACTTCCAAGATGGCCGCATCCACCAGGATTACGAGGCAGCGTGCCTGCCAGTTTTTACCTGGAACTGTATAGTGGCTAGTGGTAATGGGCAAGGGTGACAGGCCTTGACGGCCGAACCCTTTTAGCTGTTCACTGTCCAGTATTTGAACTGTTAAGATTTGCTTTTAACCAGTCGTGGCAAGAACATGAGTACTTCCAACCCTGTTTGACTCTTATGTACTTCTTTATCCGACGTTGATGTGTTAAGAAGACCCGTACATTTGGCAGTAAAACTACTGACAGCATTCTACTTAGGCTCTCAGCCTGCTGTCAATGCTTCTCTACCTCAGCTATCTGTTTGGTTAGCAAGCAGAGCTACATTGCTCAGGCGTGGTGTTCTTAAGGCGACACTTATCTTCTAGGTAATTTTACAAAACTTTTAACGCATTTTCAATTTTGCCCTAGTCCTGCTCGACGTATTCCACTCCGTGTTGGATTTCTTACTCCAGACGTGTAACTAGGTGTCAGCCAAACTCAGTGGAGAGAGAGACCGTCTCTATGATTTGATTTCTAAGTTCACGATCTTAACGGAGTAAGCTGACTGGCTGGGGTGTGCTTCTGGCAACATACACCCTTTTTTGACACTCTTGCGTGCCAAGCCTTTAAACTGAGTCAAGCTCGGCTCTGATCGCAACAGGGCCGTGGCCTTTTTTTATCATTAGTAGAGTCTTTCACTCCAAGCGTCTTAAAAAAGCAATGCTACTCTCATTGGAAAAAATTTTAGAGTCAGACAATTGCTCAAAGCGCTTTTCACAGTCATGGACGCTAACTTCTGACCGTGACTGCTCTTTTGACTTGCCTGTGTATGTGGCACCAAGAGTCAGGTGAATATTTGGGTTTCAGACTATAGGTACCCCACTGATTCCAAGAACAGTGATCTTTACGCAAAGAAACTTTTAATTCACCTTTCCAAGGTTATGCCTTGAGAAGCTACAGCTAAATGCTCAATATCGCAGACAGTTAGTGGAATCGATGATGCAACAATTTTGGTCCCCTATGACTTTTTTCTTCCTGACCCTTTTAATTTAAACTGGAACAGAAAAAATCTCGTTAGTCTATTAATGCGCGTCACTTATAAGATAACTAGGCACATGGCTAATTTTTTTTGTTTTTGTTTTTTATCGTATTAATATAAATATTTCACTACAGCATCTTCTTAACAAAAGAGACTTAAAAGCCCTATTAGAATTTTTTATGCAATTTCAGCTCATATCTTTAGTCTTCTTTACTTGGCCTTGATTGAGGTAGTTAAGTTAAACCTATTCCAAGAAGTTAAAGTCCCAATCAGGACCCTTAATGATATAATGGGCAAATCCTCCTTCCTGATGATTCCGAGTGACAAAAGAATTTATACTGAGGATGGGCTCCACATGTCACGCCAGTTGAGTATGATTTCATAGAAACGCAGATCCTTAGAGTCTTTTTCTTTCTTGATTAACTCGTTCAAACTTCGATTCTTCTGGTGAAAACGAACCTTCTTTTTGTCGGCGTTATTGAGATCAGCAAGCTCTGATACTACCTAAGCATCAAGGGCTATCGTTGATCTACCCAGCGTCGCTACCAAGTACAGTTTCCTCAATTCTTTCATTCTTCTTCGGTTTGGTATCTCGGTCCATCTTTTACTGTAAATCCCATCGCCTACATACTTACCCTTATGTACTTGACTACCACGTCATGATGTCTTATCCTAGCATCTTGAGTTTAGAAGCATTGCAACAAGATGTGGATTAGCGTCTCAATCTTCTGGCACCCTGCACGGTAGTGGTGTTTGTTTGTTCCCCCATGGCCTGTAAAAAACCAAATGGATAGTGCATTAGTCTAGGATTTGGCTGTCGTTGTATACTTTTTCCCTAAGAAAATATTATTACGTATGCTATCCACGCATGTTGTCCTCCCATACGCCCAGAGCCCCTGAGGGCCTTGCCATCCACACGCTCGTACAGGGCTCTCACCCAATTTTGATTGACCATTTTTGTTGAGCTCAAGATCTGGGCACCTTCTTCTCTCAACCCTGCTTCTACCTACCTCATCCCTCTTTCTACGTAACCCATTGCTGCAACAACCTCAACAAACGCTGATTTCTGTAGAACCATCAGATGATTTCTTTGCTTCAGTGTGGCTTCCCACCGCACCAATGGCAATACTAAATCTCTATCCCTTACTTGCGCGTGAAAGAAGGCACAAGAGTAGTTAATAAGGAAGATGTCACCACTGTCTTGCCACTTTCGTCATCTTTAAGTCGACAGATTTGAGGTAACCATGAAAAGATTTCTATTCTTAGTACACAGAACCGTATTTATGCTTCTCTGGCAAAATACGCGCATCAGAGTGCTTTACAGTGCCCCTGTTAGCATATTATTTTATTGTAAGTTGACTGAACACGAATTTGCTAAGAGTAGCGGTTATGCTCTATCACTTTATTTACATTTCTCGTACATAGAACTGCATTCAGGCCACTCCGGAAAAATACGTGCGTCAGAGCACTTTACAGTGCCCTTGTTAGCACATTATTTTGTTAGAAATTCACTAAGTGGTCAAATTACCAAGCATGATTTGTGATTTGATATGTTTGCTTTTTACTTGCTCTTTTTCTTTTTAAGTGACAGGGCACCATGCCAGATAATTCAGTAACACAAAAGGGTGGCAGCTTTTTAAAATTCAATAAATTGCCTTACAGTTCTCAATAACGGTGAACTGGGGCTAAACAGTTTAAGCAAGGGGAGTAATTAAATTTATAAACATTTTTCCATGTAGTTTTTTTTTTTTTTTATGTGGAGGGAGGGGAAATGAATTGAGGCACATCGCAGGAGCAGCGGTAGTGTAAGACTCAGTGGATTTTTTTATAAGACCACCTATACCCACTAAAACCCCCCCATGTAACGTGGCTTAAGTTCCACCCCGAAACCGCGTTAGCATTACTTTAGGGTGAAGCCACCAGGAAGACCATCGTGTCTCACAGCATTAACGAGCTAATTCGCCACAATTTGCTAGAAGTGCCAATCCTCTCAAGTCCTGAAAAAGACTCAGGATCTCTGAAGATTAGCATCCGTTCTCTAGTGCTACAACAGTTGTTACTTTCCTATGCTGCTGCCTAAAGGGAAGCCTCAGCATCCCGCGTGGCAGATTTCTCCTCTTCCTTCTTGCGACGGACCACTGACCCAACGTAACCGTCCACCACCCTCCATCTCTCATCGGTGCAAAGTGACTCAGAGATGATGTTTTCAGAAGTGGATGTCATGCCAAGCTTGTCAACCAGTTGCTTGCGCTCACGGTGCCATCTCTCGCACATGAAAAACGTGTGTTCGACGGTATCATTCACCACGGGGCAGTAGGCACAACTGGGGGATGCTTTCACCACCACGCGATGGAGATGGGCATCGAACTGACCATGCCCAAAGAGGAACTGGGTGAGGTAGTTACTTACCTCTCCATGCCGTCTCCCCATCCATGGTCGTAGGTTCGGGATCAGCCGGTGCGTCCATTAACCCACAGTAGCCCGATCCCAATCCTATTGCCACGTCGTCAACGTTTCCTCCCGCCTGTTGCCATCGCCTTTGTCACTGGAGCCCAGGAATTTCCTTTGCCGCTCCAGTGCAAGCAACACGATGGGAATCGTTCGTGCTATCACCATAACAGCAGCAGAGTAAATCGTGCGGTAGGTGCAAGTGATCCTTAGAAATTCGATGCGCTGTACCGGAATGAAGCGCTCTCGGACTTCACGTCTCGCAACCGCATCCGCCCACACCTCCGTGCCGAACAGCAGTATCGAGATAGAGATCGACGCCAGAAGCCGCCTTTTGGCTTCTCGTGGGCCCCCAACGTTCGGCATTAACCGTGTAAGTGCTCCCGCAACCTTAGCGGCTTTGTCGGTTGCTCTCTTGATGTGCTCCCAGAAGGTGAGCCGTGAATCGATTCACACCCCCAGGTAGCACACAACCGGGCTTGCAAAGATTGCCTTACCCGCAACGTTCAGGTTAAAGTCCCCCCCGAACCACCTTTGCCTGGTAAAGACGACCATCTCTGTCTTGTCAATCGCAAGTACAAAACCGTGATCCCGCAGCCACTCCGACACTATCGTTAGCACCCACCGAATTTTGCGCTCGGCCTCCTCTTGGGATCTCGCTATGACGTGCAGTGCTATGTCATCAGCAAGACCCGTCAGCTTGACCCCTGGAGGCATTTCAAGGCTCAGGAGTTTATCATTGACTAGGTTCCATAAGTCAGGGCCGAGGGTGGAGCCCTGTGCGACTCCTGACGTCAGGCGCCTCTCTCTTGGTCCATCCTTCGTGTCGTACCGAAGTACACGATCCTGGAGATAGCTATCCAGTATCTTTCTAAGGTAGTCTGGTATATTCTAGCGCCTTAAAGCTCTTATTATATAGGATCATTTGGCCAAGTTAAAGGCGCTTCTAACGTCAAGTGTCTTCAGGACACAGGCGCTTTTCGTCTTATGTAAGGGTATCCTTGCCTCCCTTACCGACTCAAGGACCTTAGCCACAGCCATGACCGTCGATCATCCCCCTCAAAAACTTACTGATTGTCCGAGAGACTGACTTCCCTTATTAGACAAGTTTGGATCTGCCTTTCGAGCATTTTTCTGGCATTATCCAGCATGCACAAAGGTCGGAGTGACAACGGGACAAGGGGGGTGGTTTACCCTTGTCTAGAAGGCCAATCCTTTGGATCTTGCACCGCTCGTTTAACAGTCCGTTTCGTGAAGACGCATCAAACATGTCCAGCAACAGGTGTGGTTTTTCTGTGGCTATGACCTTGAGGACTTCGGACGGCACCCCGTTCAGATCCAGGGCCTTGGGGCCCGGTGTCTCCTATACCACCGACTTCAATTCATCGAAGGTAAAGAGAGGCACCTCGCCCACACTTATATCCTCTCGCCTCCTTTTGGGATGCTCCAGGAAGAGACAAGAGACCACCCTCTCTAAAAAGAAAGGCTCCATCAGCGCCACAAACTACGAGCCGCATAGTCTTTTTCGCGCGATTGGGTAGCCCAGGCCCCACGTATCTATATCTACATCAGCAATGAGTTTGCACCAGCATCGGTTGTTGCTCACCTTGATCTCCCACACCAGGATACTTTTTGCTTTCCTGCAGCCACATCCACATCTTTTGGCGATTTCTGTGTCGCTGTGTAAGACGGCGTAGGCGCTGCGCCTCCCCATGCAGGTTGGCAATTTCTTCGGACCACCAGTAGCACAAACACCGGCCCCGCCTGGCGGTTCTTTTGAGCATACACGTGTCACACCACTCCTTGACACGTCTCATGGTAATTTCTACACAAGCCTTGACTTCCACCGAATTGGTGATCTTGGATAAATCGGTGGGAGGGGGTGCACTTGTCATGGCTTTCCGCAACAAATCTCGATTGAGCTTCGCCACGTTTCACCCGGCTGCGCACCCTCGAGGCACTCCTTGCAAGTTTGCACCATGTTCCTCCTTTATCATATAGCTGACATATTGGTGATGATTAGCAGTGTAGTCCTCCAGAACCTGCTAGTCAGACACCCGCGCCGCCATTTGTAACGACGCTAGTGTAAGGTCGATGATCGTACCTCGGTTTCCGGGTCGCCTGAACGTTGCTAAACTACCAAAGTTTATGACAATGAGATCTAGCTTTGCAGCCATCTCTAGCACTGCCTGCCCCCTGGAGTCGGTTCTCGGCTCCTCCCAAGTGATGGCCTTGGAGTTGAAGTCACCGGCCAGGAGTATGTCGCCATTCTCCCCGCACACACGAATAGCGTCCTCGAGTTCTGCAAGCCGCCCTCTAAAGACACCGATCGAAATATTAGGGGAAATGTAGCAGCTCACATAGAATACTCTTTTACTCCTGATTCACACGAACCCATCCCCACCTCCAGTATTGGATACGGGGAATTTGCCGCTGTGAATCAGGATGACCGCGCATCTAGTCCTGTCGCAGTACCAGCCCCGACCCAGTAACGTGTGGAACGGCTCGTTTGTGAGGAGTAAGTTCACACCCTTGGCACGGGAAAACTGGTCCAGCAGACCATGCGCAAGCACGGTCCTATCAAGGTTCACCTTCAGGATTACCACCATTTCAGCTGAGCCACTCCCGTAGACGCCTGAGGCGCTCGACACGCTCTAGTCCTGTCAGGTCCGCCACACTACCACGCAATGTGTCCGAAACCCAGGCACCTGAAGCAGCGCTAAACTGTTGGCCTCAGGCGTATCCTGAAGTTTATCCAACCTAACCTTATGTGTTCCCTCTAATCAAGAATAGGAGCCGCCGTTGCAGGTGCTTTGACGTAGGCTATGTGGTTCCCTCTGTTGATCCCAGAGGATAGTCGCACAGCCATACCAGGGTCTGCGCCTTCGTAAAAGTAGCCCTTTATTGCCGCCTTGACGTCCTTCCTGATCACCGTTGGTTCGACGTCCCTGATCTTTCATGTCAGGCTCGGGGCAATGGTTTTAACGCTGCCCGCGTCCGCCACAATACTCCTTAGTGCCTCGGCGAACACATCGCGGTGCTCAGGGGCAGTATTTCTCAGTTCAATGAGGACACCTCCTGCCCTCGTCTCCCTGACAGACCCCACGTTCGCCCTGAGCCCGGCCACGTCGACCTTCTTCATCAGGGCCAGGACCTCGGCATACTTTTTGCCTTCTGCTGGAACAACCAAAATTGCCTTGGGTCTGACCCTGCGGCGCTTCTTCACGGCTACCTTAGTGGGAGGGGGTTGCATCTTACCCCCAAGAGGCTTAGTTCTCTTAGCCTTTCCTTTTTTTCTTACCTTTTTTTGGACCTTCATCCACTCAGCTTGTTTGGCTGGATCATCAGCCGCATCATCCTCTGGACGCGGCTGAGATCCAGACCCCTTTGTCTTTTTTGGGGCCTTTTCTGGCGTCTGTTTTGGGCTCGGGGTGTCTCCCACTCGTCCTCACTTTCTTTTTGCTCCTTTTTGGGTATTTTCTTCCATTTTTCCATCTAGTACAAGATTACTAAGGCAACTCCGATTTTTAGTTAAAACTATAATTTGTAGAAAAATTTTCATAAGTAGTAATTGAAAAAAAAGGTGACCTTGACCAAGATTTGAAGGTGGAACTCTTTTCTTGCCAATAAAGCGCATTATCAATTTTGCCACCAAGGTCTCGGCAATTCCTTTTATTAATTTCTACATTTTATATTGTTGGTAATATTTCAGTTGGTACCTACTCATATAGCATATAAGAATAATAAAAATAAATCTAATTTCATCAAACGGTAAGTATCAATGCGAATAATTTAGTTTATTAACATTTTCCCATCTAGTACAAGATTGCCAAGGCAACTCAATTTTTTCAGTTAAAACTACTATTCGTAAAAAAATTGTCATACGAAGCAATTGAAAAAAGTGCCCTCTTGACTAGGATTCAAACTTGATACTCTCTTCTTGCCAGACAATAGCTACATTTTATACTTCCAGCAATTTCTCAGTTAAGATCTGCTATATAGTGTAT